GGTGAAGAAAAGCAAAGAGAAATACAGATTTTGTGTTGATTTCCGACAAATTAACAGCATAAAAAAGCTGAGACCGTTTGCGGTGCCAACCATAGCAGAAACTTTAGATCGCTCACAAAGTGTGAAGCTGTTCACAGTCTAATATTTGCAATCAGAGTACTGGCAACCGCTAATAAAAGAAGGAGGTAGAGCTAAGATGGCGTTCTTTGTGGGGCAGAGACAATATCCGCTTAAACCCATGCTTTTTGGATTGGAAGGTGCCCCGTTTACATTAAGACGATTAATGACGCTGCTTAAGAATTTGAGGAATATCGAAGTCTATGGAGATGATCTGGTGATATACATTACGAGCGAGAATGACCACGCAAAGCATGTAGGGGCAGCTCTAGGACACATCGAAGAATTTAGTCTACGCATCAACAAGGCAAAATCCCAGATTGCTAAGAACGTCACGCCTTTAGGACAAAGTGAGAAACAGCGAGATAACACCGCTGACTGGAAAAATCCTGACAATCAAGTCCATTGAGCCCCCAAATACGAAGAGGAAATTTAGACATTTTTGGGGACAGCAGAGTTCTATAGTCGGTTCGTGAAAAGCTTCAACAAGGTAGCGGCTCTGCTCTACCGGCTATTAGGTGAGTCAAAGTTTTTCTGGTTGGGAGTCTCATAGAGGGTATTAGACCTCATCAAACAGCTGATGGATCACCAGAGAATGACACCACGACTACCGGTGCCGGGAAAGCCGTTCATAGTGTCTACCGATGCCAGCGACCACGGAATAGCACTCAGACAAGGTGACGAGGTCATCGAATACGCCAGACGTGTTTTAGCGCCCACGGAACAGAAGTATTCAACAACTGAGAAGGAAAGTTTGGTGATTGTGTGGGCACTAGACAAATGGAGACCCTATCACTTGGTCGACACCTTCAAGTAGAGACTAAAAATAAGCCATTGCAGTGGTTGAGAACCGCCAGAGACCACGTTGAAAGTCTTCATGGTGTCTGTTACGCCTGAAAGAGTATATAGATAAATAAATAAATTCTCATAGTACAGTACATGAGGGACGCCAGTTTACAGGTATCATCAAATTGTTGCAGAAATAGAACCACATAATTCAGTCACAATTTACAGGCGGTAGCAAGATATGCTGTACATGTTCGCTGGAGATTAAACATACACTTGAGAAATGTTAATCCCAGTAGTACAAACAGCTTTTTCACTTATATACAGTCATTTCTGTGCAACAGTTGGAAAAATCTGCTAGATTGTCAGTGAGTACAACACATCAGGAAATACAGAAGTATTGGGGAAGTATGATTTCACAATCTCTTGCGTTCCAGGAAAAGAGAACGTGTCGCCGGATATTTTATCTAGAACTTAGAGCGAGACCCAGCAAGACTTGCCCAGAGTCAAAAATCGGACGACACCCTGCAAACTATCATACAAGTGATAACTAACGCAAGAAAGGTGAATCACCCCACGACGAATCATGACTTAAATCTCTTACTCAAACAGAAAGGCCGGCTAAGCTTGAATGCCTGAGGAATGTTGACGTGGAAGGAGGATGACGGAAGCTGCTTAGCAGTAATACCCCAGTGCCTGAGCCAAGAGATGATACCACCAACCAGCACGCACAGGTATCCAGTGATCATTATTCCTGCCAAATATAAGCTTTAGGAGAAGTTTAAACCGACAGCTTCACCTGGTTTACCTGGCATTTGTGGAAAGGGAGAAGGCTGAACATGTGATCAACAACCTCACCCGGCAAAACATAAGTCAAATCGCTGTTCAAGAGAAGGCTGAAAGCACATTAGAAAATAATCATATCCCCACTGGAACCAGGAAGTTCCACAACTGAAAGATGAATAGCACCATCTAGTTAAAGCCTTGGGGAAACTCTCGGACTGACACTTCTTTCAATGAAGACAAACATAGACGTTGGGATATGGAATATCTGAGCCATGTCTTGGGCTACCTAGCTGCTCACACTGCAGAAAAAACAACAAAATATGGTATAGAAGTGTTAGAAATGCCAACAAGTTAACAACTGAGGACTGAATAATCTTCTCTGGTCACCCAAATGACAATAACAAGCAGACCAAGGTTGTGGCCGTCTTGACGTCACCAACAGCATCGAAAGCTCCCATGGGGAAAAGACCATACACTTCAAGGATCCGAGATTTAACTCCTGAAGAAAGGAATTTTCAATGGTGCTATGCCGCGAACATACAAAGAAGTGAAGGAGAAGTCTTGTGGTCAAATGTAAGTGGTAGCGGACAAGGCTGCAACCAGATGGTGAAATGAAAATTTTGGTGGGTGGTATGAATACTAAATTTAGAGCAAAAAACAACAAGGGAAATCATAATGGGTCTTAAGGTGGTTGCGATAACGAATGAGAAGAGGTGACTTCTTACGCCTACGCGCCTATTGATTTAATGGTCAGAGCCATCGTGTACTAGCACAAAAGCACCGAATAAACAAAACCTGCAAGATTTATTCAAAAAAGAACGGATTGCACTCACTCAGACATTCGTGGAATACAAGCATCGCTGGGGACAAAACTGAAAGCACGAATGCTTCATGCGTGTACAGTGTACACATACCTACTTTCCTTGTTCTAACCGACAAGATGATATACGACATACTACAAACACCCAGATATGTTAAAACAGTTGTTTTGGAAATCCGGTTCCTTCGAAGCCCTAAGTGTTCGAACAGCTTATCAGTCAATGGAAAAAGTCATTGACATGACATTCAATATCACCGAGGAAATTCAAGTTGAAGGGCGCTAAAACTCGGAAAGTGGTGTGGAAAGAAATCAGTGTGGACATCTCATGCAAGAGGAAGGGCGATGCATGACTCTCTACGAACGCCTAGAGACTGAAGGGGATGAGAACGGCTCCGAAAAGGATTAAACAATGCAGAGATGAGAAAAAGAAGGGGATGATGAGTATCATCTACAACATGATGAACAAGGGGGCCAAATGGGGTGCTGGGAATTATAAGAGACGCCTCTGTCATGCAGCGGCGATGGGGTGAGGCAGGCTATGGGTAAGAGTAAACTCATTGGGTTGAACCATATAACCAGGTCAAAATAGGGTCACCTCGGATGGATACGGTGAAAGATATTGAAGAAAAGTCAATTAGGGAAGACGGTTAGCGTAGGGACTGCTGAATCTACGACCACCCGTGACTCTTCCGGAAATAACAGCAGCAGAAACTGAACCCCGAACATCTGATAAAACAAATATCTTGGGTTATAAACGTTGGACCAGCAAAATGACATTAAAATATCGGGGTTTCATGGATTATTTATGCCATGTGTGGCATAAACTATGGTATTTACAAGCCAAAACCAACAAGTCAACGAAACGTCAGGTGCAGACGAGCTAAGAGAGAGGACTGTGCTGATGACGATCCTCAGCAAACAATGAAAGCATCAATCACTGTCAGTGGCAGAAATTCAAAGGAAGTTGTCTTTTCTACTTAGTTAAGTGGAAAGTATCGTTTCAGCCACATGCTACACGAGTGAGGATGTCGAAGCCAGTATGAAAAATTCAGGCAGACCTCTGTCACTTTACAGTCAGTGTAGAGATCCCCATAACTCGGTACAGAAAAAAATCTGATTTTTGGTACAAATGTCAAGCTGGTGGTTCTATTTAACCAGTTGCATCCATCAGGAACTTGCTGGGGAGGGGAGGAAAGCAGACAACTATATGTGGACACCCTCAATGGGCCATCCCACAGTCTTCCTTGTGTTTGCTAGCCTAACTATAGCGCACGAACAAATATGCTGCGTTTTAAGGATAATCACATGTTCTTTGCCATAGGCTGTCCCACAGCACTCCGAAGAAATAAGAAATACTGAAACCATCATGTGACGGTTACTGATGTCGAGGACGAACAATGTGGCTGTTCTTTTTCTTCCATGGTTATGGCATGTGCATGGGAACAAAGTCTGCACCCAGCACTTCTACAACAGCATGCTGCCAATGACATCATGCCTTAATGTCTAAACTTCATTAATCCTAACTCCAGACTTCTCTTTTCATTTCGTTGGGTGCTCAAGATCGGTAGCACAGTGGTTAGGACTCTCGCCGACCATGCACATGGTCCGGGGTTCGATCCCCTGCCGGCGCACACCCGATATCTATGGTCGGCCTGAATTTGGGCTACCGATATCCATGCTGAAAATTCCATACTTGTACTGAAAATACGGTGTGGAATCAAGCTGTAAATAAAAAAAAATAAAAAAATAAAAATAAAATATGTGTATGAATCTTTTGAGGTATCATCTAAGTTAGGGTTACTACAAGCCAAATTACTGTACAGAAGTCATCTTGTCTGCACTGTCGCTAGCCTCAACCTCATCACGCCTGTACGATGCAACAGCATTTAGTTACAGATAATCTTCAGACTCTATGTGATACTCTCAAGAAAACCTTCAATTAAAATCTTATATGAGACTGTGCAAGTAGCTGTTTGGCTCTATAGTGACGCTTCCGTACAAATCAGGAAACTGTTGTCGTGCGATGTAACTCATATCCTACTAATCATTCTATTGTGTAATACTCAACAACTGCGTTAATTTAATCATCATAGCGACTAATTTGTTCGGTAGTTTCAGAGTAACAACATACTGTTTGAACTCCGGGAAATGACTGGTATGTTATTTCCTTGAAGCATGAGTACTTCAAAATAGTTGCATTTAGAACACTTGAAATCCCGAAAATAACTCATTTCCATCTTTTTTGGAGGCGAATCTGTGTTTCTTTTAGAATTTATTCGTGTTTCGTCATCTGAGTTTTAGGATTTCATTGGATACAATGGTAAACGAGATTGTCCTTGCACTGCATTTACACAGTATTCGAAATGCGTCCTGAAAAATTTCACCTATTATGTGCCTTTACGTCAATAAAAAACATATCTTAATTGTACAAACGCAAGTGAGTCATTTTTTAAATTTTAGTCTGATTTGTTTTGCTAAGTTACTTACCCACTTTTGACCTTCAGTCCGAGATTGCAACCTACATCACTTCATATGCTATTCTATCTTTTGGATAGCTTATGGTAATTTTTGTCTTTTCTTGGCTAATTTAGCAGATGCAGGATGAGATGAACAGGTGCACATTCGCAAGTCCAGTTGATCGTAGTGATGATGACTCACCTCCTGTGTGCCTGGTTGAACTCGTTAATTCCAAAGTAAAAGTAATCAGTACATTTATAAATACATACATTTATTAAGACTTCTGATACTCATGCTACTATGGAACCGCATAATGATCAGGCTATAAAAAGCCCTCAGGAGGTTCTGAATGACTCTGGTACACAGAAAAAAGTCTGCCAGGATGAAACTGTTTCTTTGTTATCAGGAGTTCTCATTCTAAAGTCTGAAGCACCAGTATCGGTAAGCTTTTTCCGTACCATATCCTGTTATGTTATGTTTAAGTACCCAAAATGCCTCTGAATGTATATTTTCACCGAGCTTTAGAAACCAGACAAGCAATGAATATCCTGTTTACTATGGAGATTAGTACTACTACATAATAGTTACATACGCCTCTGTACTTAAACAGTGCACATATTTCGACTGTTGTAGTTTTTCAGTTTGTAGTCTGAGAGTAGGTACTGACTTATCAAATCTTCAGAAAATCATAGGTTTCCCACAGCATCACACACAAAATAAATGTAATTCATAGTTTTTGTGTCCAAATTCAATTTTCGGTTTTCTGAACAGATGGTATTGGACCACACATATTCGATTTTGGGGTACTGCAACATATTCTCTTTTGGTTATTCATAATTTCAGACGTCTATCCGTTTGCTGTATGAAGACTGTGGTTATACTAGCAGAGTAACTAGGTATTTAGAACATACGCAGTAGGGGCAGGTTAGGAAGTGTCATTGGTAGTATTTCCGTGTGCAGCTGTAACGAAAACAAACGTCTCAGTTAACCCAACATCTGTTTCAGTGCTAAATCCACCACAAAAATGTAGGCTATAACAAGGCAACTTACATCCTAGTATGCTCCCAAACACGACTGTTACACAGTTCCATGTTGTCTTCTAATTTATAGTGTTGGAGAATCAGTACTTCACTAAATAACGAAAGGCACTGAATATAAGATAATATGTTAGTCTTTTTCATCAATTATCGAAGCCATACATCGCTTCCCACTTAAGTACCGACTAGCTGTCAGTCACTAGTAAATTTAAATGCACTGTTTTTTAAGAACGACGCTAGAAATATAGATCCATTTGTTGTAATTTCGACTTATAAATAGTCTCATTATTTGAAAATTTGCTGAGTGTCTTATTGCTAGTTAGGTAGAACTACTTAATTTTTGTATCTCTCCTTTCGTAATGCTATTTTAGAGAATTGTTGTCAGCCAGTGCCACATAAAATGGGATTGTTTTAGCCAGAATAATTGTGTGCAGTTTGGCTAGTATAAAAGTTGAGCAAAAGCTACAGTTATGTATTTTTGTCACAAATTAAACACAATACTGAATTTGTATAGGCTCATTTCTCAAGAGCGTGCCTAGAATGTTTATTTGTTTCATAAGTGTGAAATTTGAAGTTCTCTTCGTGTGGATGGTTCTAAGAGGTCCGTCGACGTTTGTACTTTTAGATTGTGAATACTGAAGAAAACAAAAATAATGGTTTGCCAGACTCCAATTCAGTTGAAAATACTCCAGCGGAATCGATTCATCCTAATACTCATTCATCAGAAGTAAAAGAACCAAACATGGCTATATCTTGTGAGAATACTGTTCAGTGTGGCAGTGGATTTCCAGTGAGTGAGAGATATTTACATTCCAATACGAAAAAGTCTCCGTTTTATCAGAAGGTGGAGGATGATGACGACCTAGATTTTGAAGATCGACCGTTAACCGTAGTCACACAAGAAGCTGATGATGTGTTACCTGCTGAATCTGTAAATGGTGTGACCCTCAGCACAAATAATGTCGCCCGGATTATCCCGAGTAAGTAGTTTTTGTCAGTAGTTTCACATGTATGTAAATTTTTACCTGCATAACTCTAAGAGGCTAATCGAGATGAGACAAAAAGTAAATGGTCTGGCTGGAATTGTAACATACTCTGAGTAGTGCTAAGTATTTTTTTCACAGGATATATAGAAACAAGCAATATACCACAGCTTGTATATATATATATCGTGCAGTTATTTTGAGTAGTATTTGATAATAAGGTGCCAGTACAGATAAGCGTCACTTCACATTTTCTATCTTACGTCACTTTTTTCCGGTGAAATATCCGACAATCAATCAAAAGTTCGTCATACTTTCAATGGCTTCGAGATGTGACCGTCATTGCCGCTGAACTTTGATTGTAAAGGTCTTCATTCTGCTACTGATGTTAGATGGAACTACGTGACAGGGAGTACTGAAGCAGCATATAGTATGTTTTATTGAGGTTCATGCGCTTGTGTGGATTTCAATCATTGCTCAATTTGTTACTGAGATTTCCTTTCTAATAAACACCCAAGAACTAATGCAATTTTGCAGATTACGTAAGGTTGTAGTATCCTAATTGTTATTCTTGCTTTCAAACTAAACATACAGGTAGAAACATGAAGTTGGGTAAAATTATCGGACAAGCAGAGTAATCATTCCTTAAACAAAGTGACTTTTAAGGACAAATAAAGGAGAGCATTGATCATCAGGTATTCTGCAGATAATTTAAGTGCTCAAATCTACTTCCTTGCTACAGAATTTCCATTATGGGTTTTCTTCTACTTTATTTTTCCAGTGACGTCATTTATCTCGGCACACTAGCCATCTGCTCAACCCAAAAAAAGTTGTCATAACTTTAAATAGTGTCAACAGAAATATGGAACTTATGCATAACTAATCTACATATTTGTTATCTGTCTATACGTGTTGCAAGGTCGCACTTTTCTGTGTTTTAGGCTATTATATGTGATTTGTAGGTTGCGGTTTTCACATTCATCGTGGTAATGTGAATGCATTCAGACCTTATGTTCATTGTACCTGTGTTGTCACACTTCTCTCCCTGTTTCTTCTCGTTTCTTCTCTTTTGTCAAACTATTCAAAAACTTTGGTTATATTGTTTTCGTAATATTAAACCTAATGTTACTAAACTCATTCTATTCACTGGGACTGATTGCTTTTTATTAGGACAGTAGACTTCTCAGTTTACCAATTAATTTGCAATTTACACAGTTTGAGGTGAGGCTTCACTGCAGTTTCCTGTGGAAACTAAGATTATTCAGATTACCACCATATGCGATCTGCTTGATACCATAAATACTAATCAAGAAGTCGAGCATAAATACCTAAAACTATTATACTACTGGTTGATTGAGATGAGCATTTATATACCACTCCTATTAGTCACTAGCACTTGCTAACCAGATTGAAGTGATCTAAGCACCGTGGGACGGCCGTTTCGCTTGTCCGAGGCCGAGCTTATCAGCTCTGTACCTCGTTAGTACAATTACTACTGGCTCATATGATTGGTGTACAACTAGTTATCTCAATCAATCAGTATTACGAAGTTTTAAGAGTCAAGTTTTTATGATGTAATGACTTCTTGCTTATGCCTACTGTGCATTTTAAACAACCTGGTAATGAGTGAAACATTGATGTTTACTAACTTTAAACATCCAAAGAAACCAATCAGCCTTATCACGTCTTAGATATATACACTGTTGGAAGTGTGCTTTAATGTGACTGTGTACTAAAGATAGTGTGCTATACGGCACAAGAAAAGTTATAATGAAACTAGCGCGATCTTATTTATCATTTGATAAGCGTTTTCTCCTGTTTATTTTTTATTTGTTGTCTTCCAAAATTTGTAATAATTTGGATGGCCCCATATGAGAATCAGTTAGATTTTTGACTTTATCTACCGAAATCTTGTTTATAGTTAATAATTTAGAGGTGAATTTCTATTACCCTTTAGTGGAATCCAAATGGGAGACAGAGTGCGTCGTCCGAGGATGACGTGGAGGAGATCGTGCGGAGAGGAGATGAGAGATTATGGGCAATTGTGGGCCCAGCTGAAGACGAGAACAGAAAATAGAACAAAGTGGAAATGTTTTGTTGAGGCCCTGTGTTCTACTCGGAAACCAAGGGGACAGTAATATTGTGGTGAGAGATGGTTGCTAGCCAAATTGGTTGACAGTAATTGAGGGGTTACGCAGACACAATCGCAATGGTAAACACAGAGAAACAAGTGAACATCCGCAAGCGCCGAGATTCCAGACAGCAAGACAAAAGAGCGAAGCCCCAAGAACCGAGAAGACCGAACCAACTTCAGTCGCAAGTCTTTGACGGGGGGACGAGTGTGGTGAGAGATGGTTGCTAGCCAAATTGGTTGACAGTAATTGAGGTCAATGTTAGTCATGTGAAAACAAGATCAAGATGGGCAGGCGGATACAGTTAACATATAGATGAACTGACACAGCCTCAAGAGATGCAAGGTTAACTTTGTGTGAGAAACAACCAATCAACAGACTGTATTTTCTACTAACATTAACCTACAATAATGTACATCAAAATCTATAGATATGTGTTGATTTTCCGTAATAAACGTTCTGTTGCCTGGCCCTTGTCTTCTGTTGTTACAATATAATAATAGTGATAAGTACAAGGTTTCTCTAAAAATGAATGTATTTTATCCAAACTAAATCCCAAGTATGTTTATTTTTTGTAATTTTCAGATAAAGTGACCGAAAATACACAGACTTCAATTACCGGCACAACAGTAAATCAAGCATCAGTTACTATAACCAGCACCACATCATTACCTAACATAACACCTCCCTCCACCTCTTCCTCTTCAACGTCGTGTCTATCCACAAATCCGCCCCCAAACGTCCATTTGGTAATTGCTTCTAGCAAGAATTACTCTTCAGACGGACATAACACATGCGCCCCAGTTGCCTTAGCAACTGTAGCTCCTATAAGAATGTCATCTGTAGGACCTGAATATAGCGTCTCGTAAGTCTGTTATTTGGAAGTGGATATTTTACATGTGCGAAAGAGCATGAGTTTTTCTTGCTAATCATATTTTAACCACTATTTAATTTTAAGAAACAAAGCTGCCTGAAACTAAGTGACAGGTAATCATTATGTCTTGTTGTATTGACTTGAGCAGTAGATTAACATAAAGCAAATCACTCCAATTATTCTTTGCTAAATCTAATATCGATGGGTACTTAATTAATATTATTTATGCTCATACACTACCTCATAAACTTACAATTAATTAGTGATTCGTGTTACTTTTGCACTAATGGGCCAGTATATCTGAACCAGATCAATTTAGATTGGTTTTTGGGTGTGTAGCTGTGTAGCACTGATACTAATACAAAGGCAATATTTCATATAAGCGATATCATTTAGAATCAAGCATCACTTATACTCCACTCGGAGAACTCACACTTTTCATGAAGTTCATTGCCATAATTATTCATTTTGGGGTTTGGTGCCTTATCTTCATAATGTTTTATAAGGTGTAATGTATTCTACAGCACTAATCCATAAAGTCACTAATCTTCGGTCTGAGTTATATATATATATATATATATACTGCTTAGCTGTCATTCTCAGTATGTTAATATCCAACTGTCTGAGCCCCTGTGATATGTTCAAAATCGTCCATAATATCGCTAATGTATTCGCTCATATTTGTCTCTCAGATCTTTAAAATCAATAATCTCGATATAATTATTCTCCTATACATATTCCCCCGTAGTATTTTCATGAAATATTCTTCCTCTATTTTTATGTGCTTTTTCGAATTGTGACAACTGGAACTGGTACACTTCTGTGTAAAGTTCCACCTTGTCAGACAGTAATTTTACGTTAATCCCACTAGTTGATAAATCTGTTTACACATTTGTTCCTTGGAAGTCTCGCCTTACAGTTCTGTTCGCTCTACTGGGTGACTACGAAAAAGTAATTCTTACCAGTTTATTGAAATAACTTTTGTCTGATATTTGGATTTAGCAACCAGCTGGGAGAAGACCCCTATCTTCCGTAGATTTCCGTGCTTGCTAGTATATACAGCGTATATCCGCAACCCTACGGAAACCTACGTAAGATTTCAGTCTCCATCACTGGGTATTGAAGTCGTCCACCCTGTCACGTACTCATTCAAATCACGACTGGTTCTCGCGTGAGTGACTGATTTACGTCACTTGGTCACCTGGTCACGTGGTTGCCTAGTTTTAAATATTTGTAAGGATCTATCAGTTATTTGTGTTGATAGTGACTAGGTACAACAGGCTGAAATATTTTATCTCTTATTTTTGTATATCCTAAGCAATTTGCTTAAGGTATGTTTTGACTTCATTTTCGGACTCTACGTGTTTTAACTTATCCTTTTTATAACTTTTTGATTAACTTAAAGACATGAGTCATTGAGACCAATTAAACCTGCTCTACAAGACGTGATGACAAGCACAGTCATGCCTATACGTCCAACTCCTCAAACTCTTGCGTCAGCATTTCCATCTTCTGTTGTTACCAAACATGAAGTTACTGCTCCATCATCTGTATCGTACAATTCGAAACCTTCTTCTAGTCATATTAATACAATCGAACCATCTAGTATTACAATATCTGTCTCTGTTTGTCCAACTTCTATACCGATTTCTGTTGCCCCTGTTAATGTTTCATTGCCGGCGAATACACTTCATATGCCAAGTATATTCAGCGTGAGAACTCGACCAGCAGTTGCTCAATCTGTCCTACCACTAATATCTGTTGGTCCTCAACCAAATCCACCACTCACACCACAAACTTCACTTCCATCTCTACCATCTCAACCTGCTGTACATTTTATGCCTTTCATCGGGAATATGTCTGGAACAATACCAGTTTCAGCAAACAATACTGGCTTAAGAAATATTGTAAATCCTAGTCCTGCAATACCGATGGCTGGTCCACCGACTGCACCATGCCCTCCACTTCAAATTTTCAACATGACACCTATGCCACAGTTTGTAGGTAAGTGGTGAATGTGTTTTTTTCTCTTCAAAATAATTTGCTCTTGTTCTTATTATAATTATAATTATTTTACTGTTAATGAGACTATCTGACAATGCACATGGTCCGGGGTTCGATCCCTGCGGGATATCTATAGCTGGGACCAGCTGATATTGATGTAGTATGTGGTGATTGATATTGAAGTAAAAAATACTGCGTGATGACAGAATTTTGTTTCATTAGTCCGCCATTCTGTTGAATTAGCTACGAGACCCTCGTTACGACTACCAGCCTGCCAATCCAAGGCCAACTAAATTAGTCACTCCAACAGGTGACAGCCTGCTCCCCATTTTTAATTCAGTTCAGTTAGTAAAACCGGCTGAAGAAGTAGTGTAGTGCTGTTCAGTTGTTTTTCATTCATTCATTCATTCACATGACTGCGGGAAAAATCCTTGATGATTACAATGAAGGAATGACGTCTTAAGCGGTGGTTGCGCCTTGTAGTTTATTCAGTGGAATGCTACTATTAGGTTATTTGTTAATCCATTAGCCTCTAGTTCTAATTCTCCTGTAGCTTAAATTTCCACTTCATAATAATGAATATCGTATGCACCAATGCACAAATTTTCTGAAACTATTAAGAGTGAATTATCATTCTTTATCGCATATATATACTATGAATATTTAGTAATCATGTTGAAGGGATGCTAATTATCTAACCTGACCGCCCAAATTTTATCATATGGTTCGGGCCGTGAGTCTGTAATTCACTAATCGAAGGTCACCTGTTTAAGCGAGTAAAACATGTGCTCATTAGACTTAGGCATTCACCACCTATTCAATGCACTTCAGGTTTAAATTTCAGTCCTACTTAACTCAGACTGGAAAATTGGATACCATTATAAGCCGTCATATAATGTGAAGTTGATTGTATTATTGAATATTTTCGAAGTCAGAAACCCCACAGTCTCTTACCTTCCTGAATTATTGTTCTGTTCATTGTTGTCTTCATCACTCAAAATGTTACTGATTAAGGATAATACACTCAACCACATAAGTAGAATTATAGTTTTGCTATTTTTTGTTGTTGTATGGACCATAAAGCTTAGAGAAATTAGTAACAACATTATGCGTGACAAGATAAGATAATTTAGATATTCACTCTATCAGGCTATAAAATATGCACACACTGATCTATATGAGTAAAATTAGAGAGAACAAGATACAGTATAAGCCAATGAGAAGCTTAACTATTGACTAGATTAAGGTGTACACTGAACTTAGTTTATTGATCACATAGTTTTGAGTAGCCACATCTTAACTCTTATGACAAACCTTCAGTTTTCAGTGGATGATAATCAACGTGACTTAAAAGTTCTTTGTGTTAGGTGAAATCTGCATGTTGTGTTATCTGTGTTAGCCATTATTTTCTCCTGTATTAAATTCGAAAAAAATGACTGTTACATTTTTATTATCTCATCCTTGTCGTTTGGTCCCGAAATCGTTAGAACTGACTACAAATACTATGAACCTGAGTATGTTAAATTTTGTCTAACTGGAAGGTTTTTACCCAACTTCCTGTCTTTAATATCCATGGCAAGTACTCATATACTGATTACGCTAACCCTAAATATGCACTTTACTGCTTTGTAATAAAATAATAAACTGTTATTGATTTATGTGTGAAAACTGGCCAAGTAAAGGATGAACTATTTCTCAACCTGTTTTAAAAAAAAACATGGTGGATTAACCTGCAATTTGGAATTACTTATCTAAACAACTGACTTTCAACTAATGCACCACTGTTATGTACCATGCTTCTCTTGCTTCAGATCTGCGAGAGTGTTATTGGTTAGCATAAATACAAGTGTAATTTGTCGTCTGATGTATAAAAATGTACTTGATTGCTAAACTATTGTTGTAAACTGCACAATTTAGTCATTGTATCTTTTTTCTTCTCTGTGATTAGGTGCACCTAGCTTTGTACTACATCCAACCGGCCCACTTCCTGGTCCAAACAATTTTCAATTTCCTCCAGGTCCCACACATCTGTTGCCTCCTGGATTAACTGGAGGTACTGGAGTCGGTGGCAATGGTGGTACAACATATAATTTTCTTCAACCACCACAGAATTATGCTCCAACAATGTTTCCACAAAATCCAAATATTTCTGATTTACTAATTGATTCACAGAATTCAATGGCTCTAGGACATTCTATCCTAGCACCGCCTGCATCAATTGCTGTTATTGGTGCCATAAACAATGCTAATTCATCATCACTCACATCTCTTTATCCAAATGTTTTTCATCCACAAAATCAAAATTTTTTCTCAACATCCTGTGCACAGTCTGGTCCGGTGTCTTATCCATATTCAACTGCGCTAGCCAATACTACAAATTTAGTCAATGCAACTACACCACAGATGACTACGTCTTTAGTATCTGGTGAAGTTAGTAATTTATCAAATGAAACAACACATTTCATGTTTCAGTCTGATCTGTCATCTGGTAATCCGTTTGTCTCAAATAATTTCAATCCAAACACAGGACAGTTGTATCAGTCTTGTCAGGTAAGTTAAATGTGTTAGTTAGATGGGGGTCAGTTGGGTAATCATTGAAACAGGGTTCAAATCAGTGACCTCCAGGTTATCTATCTGATGATTCAATTGTTGTGTGAGTAGTATTTCGAAGATCATGCTCAGATTACTTATAAAAAATAGTATAAGTTAGTGGATGTAGTTATGAGTACTCACTAACTGTTTTTATTATTATTATTGTTCCCTTGGGTTCCGCTTGGAACATAGGGCTTCCACAGCACACCTTCACTTCATTCTCTCTTCTTCAGTCCTCTTTAGCTAGCCTCACGATTGTCCCTAATTCTTAATATCCTCACACGATCCTCGTCATGTCACCCTCGGACACAGGCCCGATTCGTCGTCTCCCACTCCAGTTCCACTCCAGCTATGGCCTGGCATGCAATGTCACGCGACGGTCTCCAGAGCGTATGTCCTATCCATCTCCATTTTCTTCGACATATCTGTTTAGCAATAGGTTCTTGGTCGGTTAGCTACCAGAGTTTCTTGTTTCTAACTCTTTCTGGTTGGCCATTTGACCTTCAGTATGGAGCCAGCGAAGGCAACTGTTGATAAAAGTCTCAAACCTGTTCGAAATGCTTTTCATGATTCTTGCACCAATTGTTGTCTTCGCTGCCTGCCTCTTCTACTAGTTTGTTGGTTTTCGCCTGTAAGTTTTCGAGTTTGTGTGACATTCGACATTAGTCATCCGCGAAGACTGAGTCTTGTATAGTCTTTATGTCTGCCCAACGTATTCCTATCCACAGTCTGCTGTGGACCACCTGACACGGCATTGTCATATAGCTGTGGTTGAATGGAGTTGATAAAGATTTGAGGCACTGCACTCCTAAGTGTTGAAGTAGTTTTACCCCTATCGAACTGGTGTTTACTCAAATGCTTTAGAGTAACCGTACGTTAATGAATTTATATGGGCAAGGTTGCACCATAAAACAAATTTATCTTCTGTTCTACTATTGATATAGAAAAGTAATTAAAGTTTGTAAAACAGCTGACATATGTAGTTGGAAGTTTGAATTATTATTATTATTGTTTCCTTTAATTCCTAGAGGAACATAGGGCTTCAGCCGTGCGTCTCCATTGCGTTCGGTTCTCTGCTAGAGTCTTCACCTGGCTCCAAGTCTGCCCACACGTTTTCATCTCCTCTTCACATGACCTCCTCCAAGTCACCCTTGCACTGACGACCAACTCGCCGCTTCCCTTTCGGGTTCCACTCGAGCAATGGCTTGTCTAGTGATGTCACTTGATGGTTTCCTCAGAGTATGGCCAGCCAATCCATCTCCATTTCTTCCTGCCTATTTGTTTCACAATCGGTTCCTGCTGTGTTGGTTCGCTCCCAGAGATCTCTGTTGCTGATCTTTTCTGGCCGGCCATCTGATCTTGAGTAGTATTGAGCGAAGACAACTGTTAATGAAGGTCTGTAGTTTGTTTGAGATGCTCTTTATGACGCGCAGTGCAAGTCTCTGATCCGTATAGATAGCACTGACTTCACATTGGAGTTGAAAATCCGGATCTTATTTTTGATGCTGAGTGCTGTTGACCTCCACACAGACTTGAGAGTAGTGAAAGCTTGTCTTGCCTTTCCGATTCTTGCTTTGATATCCTCGTCAGTTTCGCCTGTAGTTGAAACGATGCTTCCCAGGTAGGTAAAAGAGGTTGTTTCTTTCAGGTTCCTTCCATTTATGCTGATTGTTGTCTGTTGTTGTTGTTGCTGTTGGTGGTGTTGCCCAGGAATCTTCATCACCTCTGTTTTCTCTATGTTCACCTGAAGTCCTATCTTCTCCGGATGCTTCTTCTGCCAACTTGTTGCTTTTCGCTTGCATATCTTCCAGTTTGTGGGAAATCAGACATATATCATCGACGAAGTCCAGATCCTCCAAGTTTTTTGTGTGAGTCCATTTTATGCCTGTTTCCTCATTGCCCGCTGTTTGTCGCATTATCCAATCTACTGCAATCAGGAAAATCATTGGCGATAGTAGGCAGCCAGCTTGTCTTACTCCTGTCCTCACTTCAAAGGATTCCGTAAGTTTCCCGTTGTGGATTACTTGGCATGCAGCATTGTCGTACAGCTGTTGGATGAGATGTATAACTGTCGGTGGCACCCCATAGTAGCGAAGTAGTTTCCAAATCACCTCTCGATCGACGCTGTCAAAGGCTGACTACATGTTGTCAGCATCTCCATCTGGAAACCATAAATTGAGGTAACAAGTCGCTAAAGTCATTTAGGGTCGATCTCATGAATACATCTTAAATGAAATTAAACAAAAATGGTGACAGTGGGCATTCCTGACGGATACCACTGGTTGTTATCATTCCAGATGACAAATCTCCATAAGCTGTTATACGGACGCGTAAGTTCGAGTAGATTAATTTGACATACTTTCCTGCATTCCCTTCAAGGCTAGACCATTGCCACAGCACCTCTCGGTCTACTGAGTTAAACCCGTCTCTATGTAAAACTGATTGATATAAACTATTTAGTCAGCAGCTGTCAGTTAAGACACCGACTTACATTATACTACAACTATTTTTACTTGAAGATTCTAAAAGGTAAGTTCATATTCCACAATTAAAGTGGGCCGAGAAGTCTGTGTTAACAGTTTTTTTTGGGAATAAAACAGCTTTTATCATCATTGTTATCATTAATTAAGATTGAAAAACAGTCATCATCCTAGAGCATCATAATTGAGTACTGTGGACATGTTTTCCATTTCGCATAGTTTTTAAGCAGAATTCTTGTAGAATCACAATAATCTTCATTTGTCCTCTTAATGTGGAGAAAGCTTTTCATCGGTTCATGTATGATTGGTAAAAATGCACCTTGTTTTCAAGACACTAACTCTGAAGGGAGTTTTCCACATGTTAGGCTGTGAGATAAACTTACTATGTGAAGAGGGCTAGTAGTTACTCCTTAGTAGTTGCCTAGGCTACTACCTTAAGTGAAACAGAATTTAAGTATTGGTTTTTTAGGGATTTTGTTTGATTTGTTGGAGGATTTCATCATGAGCTGTCATCAGTTAGAGAACCATTGGAAAACAACAAGGAAGTACTGGACAGCTGGTTCGTCCTAGTTTGGGACTCTTCATCGGTACGCACCCACCACAGGAGTTCCAACCCAGGACCCTCTATTTACAAAGCGAGCTAGTAGACCATTAAGCCGCTGGGACTCGATCCAATTGCCAACCCATGAATTCTAACTTCTGCCAATCCATGACATAGCGCGACCACTTCTCAATGTCATCTTCGATGAGTCACTGCCTCACCACCAACCTGCTGTACCCTACTGGTCACGGCTTCATGATGAAATCCTCCAACCAATCAAACGGGATTTGAACCCTGGACACATTATCTGGAATTTGGGCACCTGTGTCAATCAGCCACATAGTAACAAAGTAATTCTCTTCCTACATTCTTTTTCACCAGTTATATTTTCTCATCTCTCCCGCTTTTGTCTTTCCCCTTCAGTTTCCTACATTTCATAATCCATTTCAAGCTAATGATAATTGTTCAATTAACAATTTTGTCTCATCCGCTTTACCAACTGATTTAACTTCAACCTGTGATAGTAAATCATCCTCTTTAAATGGAACATGCATGCCAACTTATTGGCCGCTGGTCAATACCTCTGGTATTGGTGGTGATATGACGACGACGACAGCAACAACAACAACGCCGTCAGCAAATGTTCAGGTTTCGCACTCAAATAATCCAACAAACTTTATATCACCTATAAATGATTTTGGAATGAAAAGTCAAGTACAAAATACAAATGTTGATGATAAGAGTAATAATAATAATCATAATAACAATGGATTAAATAATCTTCAAAATATCACAACGTCCAGTACAGTCAATACAAACCCATTGTGTTCATCATTCAATGGAATTTCAGTGTCAAATGTTATGGTAACGTGTCTTCCATCTTGTCGTATTTTTCCATTTTATTTCATTCGCATTCCCAGTGGAACATAGGGCTTCAAGCTATAGCTTTGAAGTTTCTATAAGCATATGGTGCCAATTTTGTGGGTTGGGGTTGCTAGTCTCACACCCAACTTCTTCACTCTTTACTGGGCTTACTTCTGGTTAATAGGTGTAGGTGTGTGTTGTCAACCGGGGGGTTCGAACCCCTAACCACATGCGTGGTTGGCGAGCATTCTACCATTGCACCACTTATGTGACTCATTATTTTATCGTGTGTTTTTATTATTCAATTGACTTTTGTGTTATATTGTGTTCTGTGAATGTCTCTAACCAGATCTTAAAGTAATCTAAATATCACTAAGTTGGAAAGCAATACGAACATAGTTCTGATTACTACTCATTCAGTTATATTTGCACTAGTGACTCATAACAATAATTCTTTACGATATTTCAATGATGGTGAATTTAGTTGTTCTGAAGGGTTGTGCATTATACACTTTAAGCGATGTATGATTTTATGACCTCAGGTTGATAGGCTGTTATTGATATACTGAGTGCTTATCGAAGGAGAAATAGAGATTTAATGAAAACAAAACACGTAGTTCAGCGAAGAGTCTCTTTTTCACTAATTCATTTTCTTAGCTGTACAATCACAAATGTGTATACGTATTTTTTGTATGTGTGTGTACATTAAGTTTGTCGAAAAAATACAATTGATTCTGGTTATTTTTACTCAACACGTGAGAATTAGTAAGTTTTCGGTGGAGTTACGTAATGCAAAAAGTCAAAAAAATCGGGGTGTTAATGAAACTAGGGTAGTGGTGAATTGCCACAAACAGTTGTCAAAAGGGAGTTACGTAATAATATGAATAGTTTGATGGTTGAGTTGTACTCAGGATGCACATAGAAACAAAGTAGAAAATATGAAATAACCAAAGAGTTCTAAATGAATACAAGAATTATAAGTGATTAGACGAACAAGCACACAAACAAACAAAATGTGAGGTCATCAAAAATCAACAAAGTTGTTACCATGATAGTAGAAGTGGTTGAGTAATTCTCTTTTGTATGCACACGTGCGGTTTTTCTATGTGAATGACCAGTGCTTCAGCAATACAAAGAAGACGAAACCGTATTGCCTTTGGTAGGTTATTCTTGACTCTGTAGATTACTTTGAAGGAGGCGTTTGTTGAGATGGAATGATCAGTGTTAACCAGGTGTTCAATTACCTGACTCCTTATAGCACCACCATTGCCTTTTCGCAACCATGCTGGATAGTGTTCTTGAATCCTCTTGGACAGGTTACGTGTCGAACAACCGATGCACCTGGCTCCACAGCAGCAGGTGAACGGATATATGCACATACTAGTGGTCAGATTCAGGATCTTGTCTCTAAGGCTTCCGCAGATCAGTGGGTGACTGGAGAATACTATTCTTAGTGTTGCTGCAAAGAATGTTTTTCTCAGAGATGATGCGATCCTTCTCTTGAGAATATCGCTTGTTAAATCTCCCTTGAAATCCAAGTTCATGTAATTTTTTCGGTGCAAGTGAGATTTGGATCACAGCAGTATCCAAAATAAAGCAGCTTCCGGATTACTAGTCCGGCCCTCTACCAATAACCGTCCGTCAAACAGACTAACCACCAATCATCAACTTGCTCCACTCTGTCTAATTCAGTATAATTATAATTGAAAAGAAAAGACCTAAACAGACAGCTTGTATCATGATAAACAAACAGCAACATATCATTTGTTCTTATGATAGCTGGTAGATTATCGAACTAGTGCAATTTGGAGGCCCCTTGTTGGAATTCTACTGTGACCCACTTTCACTTCTCCTTCAAACTCTTAAATTCTTTAGTTTATTTGAATAACTACTTTCTGCTGAAAAGTTGTAGCTAACAGGACTTTAAAAAATGACTTCAAATAAGTAGATCACAAGTTCGAACTCCTCCCCCACACTACACTTGCTCAAGTCATAGTATGCCTTGTATAAAGCTTTAGTCATCTATGAATTTGTTCGAGCAAAGTTACTAGAATGAATAGTGTAAAGTCCATATACGAATATCAATGACAAAAGAACATGAAAATGCTTAGTACTCGTATCCTGACTTACAAAGCTGAAGTGTTCCACTCTGACTTTTACCATGTAGTTGGAATTTTCATCCATCACAACACTATCACTCATAGATATAAAAAAATTTCTATTTTTTCCAATGATACACCTGCGAGGCAATATTCTCTGCATACTGAAGGTTCAACAGTCTTCCTCCAATTAGCAGATGTACGTCGCCACCAAACATATATCCTCAAAATGTTATCATTGGTGGAATTAAATTTAAGTGTGAAAATTAGGTGATCGTGTGTAATGTCAATGTTAGCTGTAAATATTGATCATAAGCAGTTGTATACTCCCACTCTGCTTGAGATTTATCTATTTATTTTATTCCTTTACATTCCAACTAGAACACAGGACTTTAAGCGGGAGATTTGAAGTTTCACTTAGACCTGGAGTTGATTCTTACGAGGTGGGGTTGCTAGCCTCACGCCCCGCCTTACTATCGGCTTATCGAGGTTTAGGAGTGCGTCAACAGTCAACAGTAGAACTCCGGACCATGCGGGAGGTGGTTGGTAGGCGCGTTCTACCACTGAACCACCGACGCACTTGAGATTCAATATTATAATTTATTTTCATTTTATTATTTATTTGTTTACTTAAAATTGTGATGATTAAGCGTTGTCTTTTCTTGTCTACCTCAGGCATCAAATAATCCTCCTTTAAAAAGTGGTGGTACTACAACGAATTCTTTTACTTTTATTAATAATAATAATAACAACAACAATAATGATAATGATAATAGTATAAAGAACGACAGTGGAAATAATAACACTAGTAGTATTGATATTAACGGTTCTTCTACAATGCCGTCGAATTCAACAGCAATTGTTCTACCAGCTATTCGTCGTCGACGTCGTTTATTTGCTCAGAATGGTATAAAACCGATTACAAATGTTATTCAAACTCCTGTGTTAAATCATGCCAATCTAACAGTGAATGAGGATAATTCTGTTCTCATGAATAATACAAGTGTTAACAACATATGCAATGTTGTAACTACAGAATCAAACATTATACAGAATACATTCACTCATAGTGATAATAGTAAGAGAAGTGTTAATGACACCTTGAATACTGAAAATATGAACAATAATAATATACAAATAGGGCAAGAAAATCAGGTAGGCGGCAGAGAAGAATTGAAACAGACTAATACACTGCAAGTAAGTTAATTGTACTTATTATGAAGTGTGCAGTACCATTATTTATTATTATTATTATTATTATTATTATTATTATTATAACTGCCATTAGTAATGTTATTCTCAGTAGTATCATGAAACCATAGATAAATTAATGTGTATGGTTAGGAAAATGATGTATTGTGGCTGATTTTTCTATCCAGTTTAAGTGTTATTCGTATAATAAAGTGAACAATATTGAGATTAGGCGTCGAGTGCTAGGTAAAGAGGGGAAATCAATAGACGAGGCTGTGAAGTTACATCGATTGAGGTGGTTAGGACATGTGTTACGCATGCATTCCTAGCCATCGCCTTCCTCGACAATGGTCAATATTAGTCAGCTGACATAGGGTCAGGTTGGAAAAGAGCCAGTGGTGGTCAAACGAAAACATAGCTTCATCAGTCAATGAAATCCACAACAGTTAGTTTAAGCCACGTAGGGAGATGTAGACTGTGTGGCTGGTTTGGGTCCTCGGGACGGTAAACACCAATGGCTGGAGACAATTGGTGATATGACTCAAAATCGTTCGCAGTGGCGCAGATGCATCCACTCCTTGTGACTTATAATTTCCAATGAAACTATATTGTTCTTCGATATTACTATTCTTTTTGCCTCATATCTCTGTTTACTGTCTTTATTTTGCGTTTCTTTTTACTTTCCTCTCTGGCTTTGTGTGCTGAGTGAAGTGTGGCGACTCGAACTGCTGCACACCGGTGCAAAGTTCTATGTTGAAACCAAACAGACGTACAGTTATTCGTATAAACTGTCTTTTAGAAGACTCTGTATCCACGTGTTAATGTAGACTTTGAGAAGGTAAATATTTGTTTAGCTAAACTTTGTTTGCATAATCCTCTCCGGAGTTAGTGTAATCTTCAAACTATTCTTTAGTTTAATGCTTTCTTGGATGCCCAGCTCACAATATGTGAGCAAGATGGAACACTGAAAAAAAACCATCTACAGTAAGCCAACATGGAGCGGACAACTCACGAACTTCCACAGTTGGATGCCTTTATATGCAAAACGAAAGCTGATCTTCTCATTGAGCTACAGAATTCGTAACATTTGCTGAACACTTATAGAAATTCTCATTGAAAATGACTATGCCAAACGCTTCATCACAAAATCCATGAGGCCTACACCACTAAAACCACATAGACTTTCTGCTACCGAAAAACTTCTCTGAATCTACAATTAAACGCATCGGCGGAATTTCTTAGGAACAGTCTGTTGCGTTCACTGAAAAAACCTCGGCAGCAGAACTCTGACTAACTTTCTCAACAAAATCAGTGATCAGTATGAAAGTGAAGCATCAGTGCTACCATTTCTGGCCTCATCAATGTGCATCTATCTGTTCACCTGCTCATGTGGAGTTAGATATGTCGGCCATACTTAGCATTTACTATCCAAACGTATCATGCAATAGTTAACCTTATGGTTTTACAAAGAAGTAGGGGGATCTCCACTCAACTCTACTCTGAAACACCTGGTCGACTTTGGACACCATGTGAATCCGCAAACTGACTTCTGAGTCATCTACAGAGATTTATTTTTTTATTTAAACGCAGAAAAACTTGGTATAATATGGCACTAAGAAAGATGCGCCACACAATATTGTGTGAGGGCTGAGATACTACCCGGGCGCCCAGACAGAAGCAGGTGGTTTTCCTAAGGGACCACCCCCCCGAGCCTTTGACTTGGAGTCTATTCCGCAAGGCAGCGGAGCAGCGTCAGGAGCTGCGTTCCCATGGTTACCGGTGACCCATATGGGTTCATACCCCATTTGATCCGATTGAATTCTGGAGCCCATGTACCCCATGGTAACTGCTTTTAGTCTAACCGTTATCCAAACAACCTTCCTGACATGGTAGGACCTGCAGGGACATGAGTCCCAGCCAGTTTAGCTTGTTGGGTCACTGCGGCATTCAAGCCCGACCACCACGGCAAGGTAGCAGTTATCGGTCGGGCATCTACAGAGAACGCGGTAATCTCTCCAAAGGAGTACTAATCAAACTTCTTCAAAGTGCAGAAACGATGGCAATCCACGTGTTAAATCATGAATTCTGCATACAGAAGTAGTTTGTTCAGTCATTGAACCTACAATGTACCTAACTTTGTCTTAACACCAGATACGTAATTTTTACTAATCCAATTATTTTTTCTATCATATTATTTCTCTCCACTCCTCCCCTCATTGCTACATTTCTACTCCTTATGTCATTGCTCTTAACTTGACTCTTTCAATTTCAGTTGAATTCTGCTCAGTCTTGTCAATTACATTGCGTAGCACAGTTTACTTATTTTATTTTAGTTTCTACCTGATTAACGCTTCCTTTGTTACATAACTGTTATCTAAAATTTACAATCCTAATGACACATCTTTGGGAATACTCGCCGAAGACATTGGCTAGCGGTCGCGCTATGTCGTGAATTGGTATAAGTTGGAATTCATGGGCCATTGAATCGGGTTCCAGTGGCTTAATGGTCTACTAGCTCGCTTTGTAACCAGAAGGTCCTGGGTTAAAACTCCTGTGGTGGGTGCGTCTGTCTGTTTCGATTCAACACAGAACTTGGCACCGAAGTGCAGCAGTTCGAGTTGCGTACTTCAGAAGAGTCCCGAACTAGGATGAACCAGCTGCTCAGTACTCCCTTGTTGTTTTCCAATGGTTCCCTAACTGATGTCAGCTCATGATGAAATCCTTCAACCAATATTCTTTTGTTGCTAAAGGAATTTGCTTTATATATATACATATATTGTGACAAATGCTGAGAATTCCATTCTGTATTATAAGTACTGTTTTTGGAATAAAGTAAATTATTATATATATATATATATATATATATATATATGCGTCGGTGGCACAGTGGTTAAGACTCTCGCCGACCATGCACATATTCTGGGGTTTGATCCCCTGCCCATGCACACCCGATATCTATGGTCGGCCTGCAAAATTGGGCTACCGATATCCATGCTGAAAATTCCATACTTGTACTGAAAATACTGTGTGGCATCAAGCTGTAACCAAAATAAATAAAAAATTATATATATATATATATATATATATATATATATATATATATATATATGATTGTACAGTTTCAGAATGTTATATCCCAGAGGAGTAACCCTTTGCTGAACGCCTTTTCTTTTTATCGTTAGCATTATCGTGGTTCTAGTGACGAAAATTATTTATATTTTTTTACCTTGCATCCTTAGATTATGCGTGAACATAGGGTTTAAATTGGATTTCTTTCGATTGTTTTAGCTTTGTCTTCACTACTTAGTGAATATTTTTCAATTTTCTATCCTCCTATTTCTCTTTAACATTACTGTCCACATATTTCACCAATGGACTATCACTCACCAATGAAATTCATTCGATTCAAAGTCCACACCCACATTCTTTCTTACAATTAAATTTATTTCTACGATTTTTATTGGTTGTTAACTCTGCTAAATAAATATTTGTTTTCTAATGTTAACCTATCCTTTAGCTTATAATCTATTGGTCTGTTGTCGCTTTTTTTTCCTCTACTGTTAATGTTTTTCTAATATGAAACATGTCTGACCAACTTTCATCTAGTGTATTGTACAAATTCATTTGCATCCCTCTCATATAAATTTAAGCACAGTCAATGTCCAATGTTGGATGAGAGGAGATAAATTAGGATATTATTTAGCGACATAGGATATTTTTGTTAGGAGAAAGAAATAGAAAATTAAACGCTTCGATGTTGTATATTGTAGGTCATAGTGACATAAAATTGTTTAATAAAGATTACCTTAGGCACAACTTCATAATTATAATACCATTTCATAATAGTTGCACTCAAAACGTTGTCTAGTAAGTGATTTTATACCATTGTGAAGTGTACTGTATACATAGATAGTCGAAATCTGTGGTTGACAGACTGAAACTTGTTCCTAGTCCACGGATGTTGATTGTTAGTTTGCAAAAGATGAAAAGTATGGCGTTAAATGTCTCACTTTTACAATCCAGTTGAAGTGCATAGAGTCATAGGTCTGTAAACTAAAACTAACTGATTCGAGTCGTACCACTCTTTTCAATTTACAGAAATATGACTGATTGCCAAAACCACTGGGCTTTCAACCAGTGAGGTTTCAGGTGTGAGTCCCATTCCGTATGCTTCGGCCTGGGATGGTCAGGATGGTCGGGGGTGGGTGCCTTGCGCTGCGGGTTGGCCAGCCCTCCGCACACCTCTTCAAATGCTCCCATATGACCGGGCGTCTTACATAGCCTCTCCTGAGGAAGTCCTACTCACTGCCTTCACGTGGCGGAGGTGTTTTTCACCAAAGTGAGAGGGCGAAAGCGGATGCCCGGCGCTCTTCACCGGGTTGACTGTCCATTGGATGACAGTCTAGGGGAGATGGCTAAACCCTGATTCCAAACCTCCAACGACTGGCGTATGAAGCTCACTGGAACTCACCGACAGACGTATGGACAAAGGGCTTGTTGGATGTCCTGGATGTCTGGCCCCATTCAAAAAGGCGTATGAACCGAACTCCGGTCACCGGCTGCCAATGGATAGTAGACTTCCTACTCCACTCCTACTGCCTTGTAGGTCACACTTGGTTGTGTGAAGGTTAGAGCTGCACTCTCAAACAAAAGGCCGAGCGATTCTGGGGACATCACTCGTACCAAATTCCCATAAAACTTCATGAACTCTCTTACAAACGACTCTCACCATGCTACGGCGTTGATTCGAGATGTGCATGAAGCCGGCTCATCCTCCCGTAGGAGATAACCGAAGTAAAGTAAGTAGGGTACCTGGGTGGTTATTATCAGCCTCCATACAATCCGTGTGCTTCAGTCTGGTACGTGAGAAATCTGTCCTGGAGTGAATCATTTCTCTCATCTGCTGCATAGTGACAAATGCTGAAAATTCCATGCTGTATCATAAGCGGTGTTTTGATTAGAATAAAGCAGATTATTGTCATTAAATTGGATTCACTGTACAGTACAGTGGTTGGTAAATTTGTTTCTTATTCTTTCCTCGTCATGTTTCCACTTCTATGTGACTGGTACTCAGTGGTGAAAATTGATATCTCACTGTCGATCATCATTTACCGTTACATCATTAATTTTTCAGTGCGAAGGCATTATCAGCGTGAATAATAATAATACATCCCAGTGGTCATCAGAGGTCCAAGTAAAATGCTACAAGTTCCGCCTATTCTAAAGGAGATTTCTCTAATTCTCTACGTTAACTTTCTAAGATAACCAAAACCGAATTTCTGAGCGTCATTATGACAGAAAGATTCTCTAAAGAGTGATAAAATGGTTGAGAATATCGTTGTGATGATAGATTGAATATTGAAAATGCTAGAGTAATAGCGTACTAGTTTTCTCATCAAGATCTGATATCAATAAGAGTATCTATAAACAGTAATGACGCTGCTAACCTATAATATCGATTAGGCTTTACTAGAGTTCGCAATTGCTAATAGTGAAAAAAGTTACCGATCGATAAGTGCTCCGTAGACTCTGCACTTAGACTTGTATATTTCTATGAACTGCCAATTTTTGCTAACTGTTGTGAATACTCCTCAAGGACGTGTCATGCTGCATAGGTCGTATCGATATCCGTCTAGTTACCAACAGTCTCCGTCATGGTGTTAGTTGCATATATATATTACGTTATGTTGGCGAAGTCTTACTGCCAGCGGATATAATGTAGCAGCTGCTAGGAATGTCCTTCGGCAGACTATCAAGCTACGTATACTGCAAGTATATCTTGACTTATCCTGCAATGGTAAGGTTTTCCCTATTGACGGAACTTCGAAAATTCCACAATCTTCTAGTAAGCCTTACTTAACCGGCCTTAGGCAGCTATCCCCCAGGTTCCATAACACGGCAAAGCAGAAGAACCTTATGCACTGACTTCAGAGGATGCTCATGGTTTATTATTGAGTAGAATAATTATGACGCTAGTCAGTGCATAAAAATCCAAGATATTATCAGCAGATTGGTTTAGATCCTTCATTATTCCAGTATATAAAAAAGGGGAATAACCTTCCTGTAATATTCACTAGCGCGTCGGTGGTATAGCGGTTAGGACGCTTGCCGACCAAGCACATGGTCCGGGGTTCGATCCTCGGCCGACGCACTCCTTTACCTCGCTAAGCCAGAAATAATGCTAGTGAAGAGGAAAGGTTGGGCATGAGGCTAGCAACCCCATCCTGTAAAATAAACACTGCTGCAGAATCTTCGAGCCACTAGCTTGAAGCCCTATGTTCCACTGGGGAACGTGAAGGAAAAACAAAAAATATTCACTAGAGGAGATCAGGTTGACCAACATTGTAGTACCTAAGATGATAGATTCCATAGTCATAAGTAAAACAAATGGGGCTCCTAAAGAAATGAACTGGCAAGAGAACCAGACAATCTTCTGTTCTGGTTGAAGGCATGATTTACCGAATTTTAACCATGCCAGGTTGAACAGCAGTGTTTATTTTTATTTTCATTTCTCTTCATTTTTTCATGTACACAGTGTGCTTATCCACAGTTATCTACTGCTAGCAATTCTGATGTTGTTACTTTTAACAAGAAACCTTTACAAGAATTTGTTGAAGATACACGACCATTCAAAAGATTGTCCACTGAAAGAGGAGAATATGATCACAAGTCGTTGGGAGATTCATTTACTGAAATGTATGTATGTTTTGATATTAATTATATTAATACTTGTTTTTTTCACTGAATTTATCATAGGCTTTGCTTTCAATTGTGCAAAGCTGATATTATGAAAATAGCAATAGTCACACCATCAATAGTAATACAATTCTAATACTGGGTAACTATGATCACTGAACTATAATGCAGTATTTATTATTATTATTCCCTTAGGTTCCAAGTGGAACGTAGGGCTTCAGCAACACACCTCCACTTTGTTCAATTTTCTGCCATCCTCTTCAACTGGGTCCACGATTGACCATAATCTCTCATCTCTTATAGTGCAGTATATGTAGTGTGAATTTAGTTATGATCACAATAGAACACTTGATCACTGGGTAGACTCTGTTCAACCTAATAAGTGCGTATTGACCAATTATATATATGATATAGTCTTTCTAGGTGGAGATGTTGACAAAATGCAATCTTCCGTATAAAAGCTATGAACCGAAATCTTAATGTATTTGGCATGCGTTTCAACCCTGTCAATATGTGAAATGATCCCCTGAAGGTTGGTCTGCATTGGTCCTTAGTTTAAGGATAGGTTGTGAAGTAGTTAAGCGTGCTGCCGATAATTCCACTTATTTCGGTAGGAGTTTAGCAAAGAATACCCGATGATTGGTCTTAGATTTAAGAGATTATAATTTTTATTGTGTAGAGTAACGACGAATAGTTATGCATCGTACATAATACTAGATACACTCTGGTGTATATGTGTGTCGCTTATTGGGGTCCAAGCATTTGGCATACAGTTAATGTGTGCTGTGTTTAAATCCCGTTCCACCTACAACTAAACAGTATCATCAGCCATCATTCAATAATTGTAACGTGTAGCCTGGGAAATGGGAAATCTGTTTCGGGGCTTCAATCAGTATGTAAGCTGGTTATGACTAAAAGTGGGTTCTGTGTGTAAATTTATCAACCGTATCATCTTAGCATTCAATGTCACGTATATATACATATATCATTAGTATATATATGATATACTCAGCAAATAAATTGGATGACATAACATAAATGACTAGAAATTGAGCGTTGGTCAAGTCACTAACAGTGATAATGAGGTGTAGAAATTAAATCGGATGGGGGTAGAGAACAGGGAAGTTGGAAATGTAAAATATTACAGTTGAAAAGAAAGAAATAATACTAATGAAGAGACAGAAAGAAATAGTATTTACCTGTCGGGTATTAAAATATATTGCCTTCATTGTAAGTGTACTGATTGAACGAAGTTCTTCTGTATGCAGAGTTCAGGACTTAGTAAGTGAATTGTCATTGCTTCAGCAGTTTGAAGAAGTTTGAATCGTACACTTTTAGGAAGACTGCTTTGTATTCTGTAGATGACTTTGAAGTTTATTTGAGGTGTAGCTTGGTGTCCGGAATCTATCAGATGTTCTAAGATTAAGCCGCGGGGCATCGTTTTTCTCCTTTGTATATATATTGTATTTCATCTGTTATCCGTGGTTGTTTTTGTTTATTTTTCATTCAGGCAAGAAAATGATTCCATGGAGTTGGACATCACAATGAAAACTTCTTATTCATCCTCCCCATCATCATCACTGTCCTCATCCTCATCATGTGCATCGTTTGTTAACACTTGCAGAACAACACCAATAATGTCGGCAACAGATCACTGTGTATCAACAGCTAACAGTAACAGTCGAAATAATACTTCCATGCTGCCGAAGGTAACATCATCACAAACCACAGATTCCCAGAGTTCTTCAAATGCTGCTAACCGTCAAGGCAATAATGACAGCAGCTTACCATCTTCAACTTCACTACCTTATTCCCCTAACCATAAATTTCCATGTAAAAACGATGATTTTATACACGATGAAAATATGAAAGTGTTAGCAGCAGAAAAACAGGATGATAATGTTGATGATGAGGATAACGACGAAGAAAGCGAGAAATGTAAAACAGTTACTCCTGGCCAGCATGATAATCAGCAGGTAGTAGATACAAAATCTGTTGAATCATTTTTCAATGTAAAACAAACATCAGTTCAATTATCAAGTACAATTATTACTACTATGACCACCAATACAGCAACAACAACATCAACGACTAATACTACTACTACTACTTCTACTGTCAGTAGTAGTGCTTCATGTCCTAAATTAAAGTCAACAACACCTTTCCAATTTCCACCTCCACCTGTATTAATTGGTTTAGATGACAGACGTATATTAACTCATTATATTGATGGTCATGTTATCTATGAAAGTGATAAACCATTCCCTGTAAGTGTGTAGTAGCCTATGGAATTGATGAAAAGATTGCTATCCCTTAGTAAATTTAAGACGAGTAACAACTGTGGGAAAAAGGCAGTATTGTATGTATGACTGAGTAATTTTCGGTGGGGGGGGGACTCGTCAGTTGAATAATACTCCTCTACAGACATTGTTATTTTTAATACAATTATTTCAAGGTTAACATACATCCATGCAAATGTGTGAACATTGTGATAGCTTCAAATAAGTATCAATTTCAACAAATATATGATGTATAATTGGTGAGTGCTAGATAATCTGTTAACGACGATCATTAAGTGAATACTATTATTATCAATCAAAGTACATACTGATGAATAAACTGGAGTTCTTGTCATGGAGTTCTTGCGCATGCCTAACCATCGCCTCCCCCGACGGACGGGCATTACTAGCTGATATAGGTGCAGGTTGGAAAAGAGTAAGTGGTGGCCAAACAAAAACATGGCATCAATCAATCCATGAAATCCTTGACACTTAAACTGAGTCAGGTAGGGAGATGCAGACTTCCAGGTTGGGGCCCTCGGGTCTCTGAGAATCAATGGCTGGAGACAATAGGTGACATGGCCCAAAATCCTTGTCAATGGCTTACGCAGATGTATTCAGTCTCTGTAATCTTTCATATTCCTTTCTACCATTACTCATTCTGTTTCACTCTTATACTTGTCAAAACTCTATTGATTCTCTTCACTCAATTTCTTGTCTACGTTTGTGTGCTCTTTGGAACGTTGCAACTCGAACTGCTGCACTTCTATGTTGAATCCAGACAGACAGACACACATGAAATTAATACAATTATAAACATCTAGATGTGTTGATGATGATGATAATGATAATAATATTAAAATATAAGGAAATTTTGTCAGGAACACAAATAAATTAAATATGCGTAGAGCATATCGGAGTTAAGATTTCTGACTTTAACTCATTGGATAATTTGAACACTCCTCACGAAGATTACTACTGACGTATGATTTTTCGATTTGCACACATATCGTAAGAAGTTTAACAGTATGTCAAGTAAATTAATAATAATGATAATAATGGTAATGGAGAGAGGATGTTGTAAATAGAAAGAGTAAGGAAAATTGTGAGTGTAAAATCAAAGTATACTACCAAGGAGGTGGATTTAAACTAACTACTGTCTCCTTCTGTGTGCATAAATCCGGCTTCTTTAATCTGATTGTGCAGGCTTATTACGTTGCTTATTGATAACTATAAAGCTCTTACTTAACATTACCGTATGATCACAGTCCATTAAATGTTGTGTGATCGTGCCGTCACAAGTAATAGAATGCCATTTGGGCAGTGTTTGGCAACGAGAGCCGGAAGACATCTTTCCGCACACATGTAAATTGACATATACATTTTGATTTGGCGAGGTTCGATGTCTTATGGTTGCTGTTGCTTGCACTATCGCCTTTGTTGTGCTTTTGAGCAACATATCAGCTGCATAATAGGTTGATTTGATTGCTTTCTCTTAACGACATTTCACCCATTAGGTAACATTGTCTCCCCTGAAAGGTAACTTTATATAAATCTTCTTTTTAAAAACTGTCTTTGAAATTTATTTTCCTTTATATCTTTTGCATATGTTAAATATATTTGTGTTTTTCTCGAAGAATGGTTACTGAACAAAGAATATCCTTTTCGATAACCTGCTCTTCATCAGGTTCTACAATTATATATACATAATAGGGAATGAATTAGTAACACAAGCGTTCCTTGTATTTCAACATTATTATTATAATCATATATAGATAGGTGTTTATAATTGTATTAATTCTATCACCATGGCTCCAGTTTATTCATCAGTATGTACTTTGATTGATGAATAGTATTCACTTAATAATCGTCGTTAACAGATTATCTAGCACTAACCACTTATACATCATATATCTGTTGAGACCCTAAAACATTTTATAGAAAATAACAATGTTTGTAGTGGAGTATTCAGCTGAAGTGTCCCTACACCGAAATTTATGCATAGTTGTTGCTTGTTTTAAAATATTAAATTCTGGTTTTTGCTAATCATTAGGTTAATTGAGAGTTTGCGTAGGATATACTGTCTCCTTGCTGTATATATATATATATATATATATATATATATATATATATATATATATATATGTAACGACAGAAGGCAAGGGTCAGGCAACAGATCATTTATTAAGGAAATCAACGCGTATTTATATATTTTCATGTACATTACTATGGTTATTTAAGCAAACAAACACAGTCTTCCGATTGGTTGTTTCTCACGTAAAGTTAATCTTTTATCTATTTGTGACTGTTTCTTGAATGTCAAATCCTCTATATGTTAACTGCATCCGCCTACGCAAAGTCTGCTGTGGTCGGTTTTGAATCAATCTTTGTTCACATTTTCTCACGACAAATCTTGGGAACGTAAATTACTGTCTACCAATTTGGCTAGTAGACAGCTCTCACCACATATATATGTTTGTATCTGTGCGTGTGCAGTATCCATGTTGATGACTTAACCGAAAACTGCATTATTAGCCTAGAGGAACATTATGCTCATTAGATTTCTTTGAAAAAAAAATGTGTTGTCACGTTGTGTATGACCTAATCGATTCCGCGAAAATTGAGCTCAAGGTAATATATATATATATATATATATATATATATATATATATATAATGTTATGTATGTTTTGTAAATCTGATCGATTTTGAAATAAGTATCTTAAACGTTTCGTTCATCAAATTGGTCTGAACTTCTGATTATTCACTGGAAGAAATTCGCATCAGTTTTACAAAGAAAATGACGGATTTACTTATCTCATTATCGGTTGGATTTGTGCGAGCAAGGGCTACATTTGTTGCCACGATTTTTCTAAATCATTTTTACGTATAGGTCGGTAGAAAGCCATCTGGGTTATACCAGCCGTTCCAAAGTCCGAAAGAAAGAAAAGGTGGTGTCAAGCGACACTACTGAAGGAAACACTAGGACTCTCGGAAAGACGCATGGAAAGAGATAAGACAAGAGATAGCTGTCTATTGACGTCAGGGAGCCGATGGAGGATAGAGAGAAGATGAAGCAGAGCAGAGACGAAAAAGAGAGGTTGAGTATGAACCACGTAGCAGTGAACAAAGAAGTGAGGAAACGTGCTGGGATAGCCAAAAGATGCTTTTAGGATACAGTGGCAACCGAATTAGGTTGGGCTACAGATAAGATAGACCTTACAACATTATCAAATAACCAAACGGCTGCCCATGAAGAGATCAGCACATATAGAGCCAGTGATCAAAGGTAGTGCAGGAAAGGACCATCATGTGCAACTCGTTCAGAAACATCTCTAACAGACATTATTGAGCTACCAGTTAACACAAAACTCCCGACAAAAGCAAACGCATTGGTCATAAGGCTAGTAAAAGCAGGGAGAGCATTAGGATCGAATAGGATTCCACCCAGGAGCACTGAAACTTCAACCGATATGCTTACCCCACTACTACTGCAAAAGGTGTAAAGGAACGGAAGTTACCTGCTGATTGGAAAAACGGCTACCTGACTCCCTGGTTGTAATATTCATGACACTAAGAATCAATGAACAGAGAGAGACTTTTGGTGACTTGGCTGAATTCTCCATTAATTGCCCTTCAACAATCATGTGTTCATTTTTTCATTTTCACTTCTGAACTGAATATTTCAGTGTTAAGCATCTTTAACTTTTGTTATGTAGTTTTTTTTGTTTTGAATCTCTTTTGCTTTTGCTTTATTAGGTGAAAAATGGTATGGTAGTAGTTGAAGAAGCTCTCTTGAAACAGTTTTCAGGTGGCACAACAACACCGCCTAAAACCATCTTGGTAAACGGCTATGGTGATGAAAATGACGAGAATATGACAAATATCAAATCCATTACACCGTGTTCTCCTGTGTTATCAAATAATAATAATAATAATCTAGTTAAAGCAAAAGATGCATTTAAATCTGACACAACATTGGTCACTTCTGCTGCTTCTAAAACTATTGGTGACTGGATGAACCCAGTAAAAGTATCATGTGCATCCACTGTTGGCCATAAAATTGTGAATTTAGAAGGACAAACTAATCACTCGACGATACTGTCAAATTATGAAACACAACGTCAACTGTCATCTGAGTTATCCAGTGATGTTCATGATGAAAATGATTGTAAGTTTGTCATGTTTTTGTATAAATATACACCAATCAGTTGTACAGTATAAATTAAATGTGATGGTGGTGGTAGTTGGCAGTAGGATCGAGGATGTACGCTTCATCTTATTTGCGTTGGATGCACCTGCATCCCTGAGGAATAATTGGGACCCATCTATATATATATACATGAGTTTGTCGATTCAAATAATCTGAGTGTTGGTGTACCCATTAAAGCATATCAAAGGACTAATCCTGTGATTCACACACAATGTTGAATTTCAATTGAATGGTCAAATATATCTTCAGAAAATGGAGTAACAATAGGTTTCCCACTTGGTCCATTGTTCACCGACTCCTTCATACATGGCGTACCTTGAATCAAATATCCTTCTACCAACAATCAAACACTTTGAAGTTTACAAGTGGTATTTGATTGATATCTTTATCATCACTGATGGAAATATTAACCTTAACGAAATCCTGGAAATCTTCAACAACACTCATCAAATAGTTGAATTCAAAATTGAAGTGGAACAAGAAGGTAAATTATCCTTCTTGGATGTCCAACTTACAAGACGATCGGATGAAAGCCTACAAAGGTATATATCTACCAAAAGCTGAAATGGAATGGACAACTGACAAACAATCACATTTTTGTCCCAATAAGCAGAAAAAGGAAATCTCACGTTTTCTCTTGCGACGAGAATCTGCCGTATATGCACTGAATAAGGAATTGGAATCCTTTAGAAAAACTCTCATCAAAAATAGATACCCAACATCCTTCACCGATAAACATCTAAAGGTAAAGACCAACTCTCCTCGAAACCTGTGTATGCCGAAGAAACACCTCATCAAAACTAATTGTAAATCTGTGGTTCTCTGAAGTCGTCTGTCGAGAGCAATTCGAAGAACTCTCTTTGCTGCATCACTACGCCTCACCTTCTCTACAAGCGCTTTTTTCCACCAAAAAGTCATAGACAAGTTCCCACTGTTGGCAACTCTAATGTGCATTTAACAATTCACTTGCTACTGTGGAGCTAAGTAACATAGGCCGTGCCAGTAGGACATTATCTAGATGTGCCCATCAACACTTATCAGTATGGTACACCTGTACACCTTTAAAGTGAAGTTACGAGAAGAGATCTCTTTACTGATTCATGTTTTAATAATAATAATAATAATAATAATAATAATAATAATAATAATAATAATAATAATAATAATAGTTTCATCGAATAATTTCACTAGTCCTTTGTACACAGTGATGAGCTTCATATTTATTATATTAAGGGACTGATGATACCACACACAGTCACTATTCGCTGAAGAGTGTTCACTGAGATTCAAACTCACAATAGGTGACTGATTCTTATTAAGGCATATCTTCAATTTCAATACTTATTTCTTCTGAAATAGCCTTGAGTTGGAGTCTTCTCTTCGTGTTCTTTTATCTCAACCAGTCTTGTAATAGTACACAACACTACATTGTTCTTAGCCAGCATTTAGGTACTTGGTAGTTTACTCTGGATCTATATGCGGTTGTCAGTGTGAAGCTGTGGGTTACTGGTCGGTCTCTAGTAGGCATTCGACTTCCTTCAGTGGGTCACGGGTTCGAACTACTCTCCACATAGTGAGATTTGGACAGCCAGGTAGTATTAATAGCTTCTCACACGAGGGGTGTGGCTCATTGTCAGCTGTATGGAATTTCAATTGGTTGTTAAGTGTCATTTCATTTATATTTCATCAACCTTTGCCAGTGTTATGTAATCAGCTGTAGAAACTACATAGAAAGGTTAACGTGAAAGTCTTCAAAAGGATATATTGGTTGATTTTTTACACTTCAAAACTACATTCACACAAACTCGAAGGCTTACAGGCGAAAATCAACAAGTTGGCGGAAGAGGCAGGCGACAAAGGCAAAAATTCAAGCGAATATAGAGAAGATAGAGGTGATGAAGACAACCAGCCAGGCACCAGTCACTATCGATGGGAGGAATATGAAGGTGGTCACTTCCTTCACTTATCTGGGTAGCATCCTTTCAACTACAGGCAGTCAGTACGGATGAAGATGTTAAAGGAAGAATCGAAAAGACAAGACAGACTTTCATCTCACTGTGAAATCAGTTTGGAAATCTACTGCACTCCGTCTCTGCATTAATAATAGAACTCGGATTTCCAACACTAATGTTAAGCCAGTCAGTTCTTCAATATGAGTCAGAAAGTTGACCAGCGAGCGTGTCACGAAAAGCATTTCCAACAGCCGGATTCAAACTTTTATCAACCACTGCCTTCGGTGCCTCGATACTGAAGATGAGATGACCAGGCCAACCACAAAAAATTGCCCACAAGAAACTCAAAAGATATGTCGAAGAAAATGGAGATGAATCAGACACACACTGAGGAGACCGTTGGGTAACATCACCTGACAGGCCATAGGTCAAGTGAAACCCAACTACAAAACGAGTTGGGCGTGTGTCGGAGGGGGCAACATGGAGGAGATCGTGTGAGCAGGAGATGAGAGACTATGGGCAATCGTGGAGCCATCTAAAGGCGACTGGAGAGAACAGGACGAAATGGAGATGTGCTTTTGAAGCCGTATGTTCCCCTCGGAACCCAAGGGAACAATAGCAAGTAATAATAACAACAATAACAGTGTACAATCAGTTTGTGGATACGTGAACATACTACCGCAAAGTACTTTAACCTGTAATATGTGTATCTCTCTTGTAACAATAAGATCATAATCGTTCCAAACTTAAAATATAATATGCATGAGGTTATTCACCTTTTCATTAATCTCATCTTGATATTTTGGAAACAATAAATACTGCAACAATATAATGAATGCTAGATCATTTTGTTTTGTAGATATGCTCATAGTTTTTAACCGTTATATTGTTATTCTATATATCTATTGTCAGCATCCGCCAATATTTATCGGTCATCAAAAGGAATTTTAGCCTCTTGTCCTCATTCAACAATATTGTCCCTAGCTAGTCGTCATTCAGCTAGTGTTGTCTACTCTCAGCTACCTGTTGTTTCAATTCCTGATCGTCAATCTTCAAATCTACGAGGAAATGATCAAAGTGTTGATTGTAAAACAAATCATGTGACAGGAAATCCTTCAGACTACTCTTCAGTTATTGGTCAACAGCACCAATGTCATGAATCTTTAATGCAACCGTTGAGTAAACCATTGAATGAAATCCAATCCAGTAGTACTGGGGTAGGTTGAAATTGTAAATTAATCTATTCGTATTTGACGATTTTTTTTCTATTTGAAAAGTTTGTTACTTTCTCACTACTGTTTGTTGTTTACTACTCCCCCTCTCACACATACACACACGAATGTAATTTTTTAAAATTTTGATTAAAGCTTGATTCCACACAGTATTTTCAGTACAAGTATAGAATTTTCAGCATGGGCATCGGTAGCCCAAATTTTGCAGGCCGACCACAGATATCGGATGTTCGTCGGCAAGGAATCGAACCCCGGACCATGTGCATGGTCGGCGAGAGTCCTAACCACTGTGCCACCGACGCCACGGTTTCTTAGGAAATCCACATAAATGATGCAGAGAGGAAAAAGATTAGCAACTTAAGATGTTTGGTTTAATATTCTTACTAATTATATTTAGAGAGTATTCGTCACATAGTCTCGCTCCCGACAAGAGAATTCTAGCGTGTTCCTGTTTTTCTTACTTTGAATCATATCAGGTGACATTTAGGACTATTTAGTTGAATGTGACTTCAGACTCCACTCTGAAGTTTCGCGGTGCACTAACAAATGAAAGTCCGTCAAAGAACTTTCTTTCTTATATAACCGACCCATTTCATAGATCTTCCATCTAACCGACTGTAAGACTAACGAACAGGAGGTAGATTATAAGAGCCATTCAAAAGACAACACCACCTGATGAAAAATAATTACTAGCTTGTTCGAACCCATCCGACAAATTCTAGAATTGCTAACTTGATTTTCACATCATATGCCAACAATAGTAAGGAGACAGTAGTGAGCAAGTTGGTAGGGGACATTATCGCATACCCTGGAGTTTCGTAATTCCATTGTTGACGGTCAAATTATCGATAGCCTGGTTCACTCGCAAAGATGATCTGAAACACATGTTTGGGCCAGTTCTTTGGACATATCAACCACACGTAATATATACCTACTTGTGCGCCCTGTTATACAAGCTTTCCATTGTTCTTCTAATATTCCCAGAGCATCAGCTAAGAAGTGTACGTTTGTCACAAAGACACCTTCGGGGGAAAATCACTGACTTGACAAAACAATCAAATTAGCATTTCCTTTTTGTTTAATATGTGATAAGTTACTTGGGTAACGTATATACCCTAACTAGGCCTATCCTTACTGTCTCAAAACCTTGTCGATTAATTCATCAACTTTGTATGAATATATGTTTAAAACCCCGAAATGACTAACTCATTGGTCGAAGCCCATACAAGTGATGTCTCGGGGGAATCTTTTATTCAGTTTTCTTCAACCTGTGGTACCTGTAGAGCTGTGCACAAACAGTATAAACCTTGAATGTCTAGGTAGCGTGATAGCAGATACTACCGATTGACAACCACTGTCAACTGGTTGCATGACTACTCATACTACTCTCCATTTGCTCTTCACACGATCCTGTTCATGTGTCAGCGTGGTACGCCCAACTCATTGCTTCCCCATTGGGTTGCCTGGTGTGTGTGTGTGTGTGATTATCTCAGTTGAATATCGCTTCAGCGTATTTTCAAGAAAGAAATCTAACTAAATTGATTACGCATCTAGGAAAACAACAGATTAAGTGAAGAAGTATACTCCTTTCCAATTAGTTCTTCATCATCAGTTCTACACTAATATATTGTTTTTTACGTCGAAATTATTCCACTCATTTGGTTATTGTAATCTAAAAGAATTATCAATTTTAGGTATAGTGGGGGTGGGTGGAGTTGAAAATAAGAGGTTAAAAATCATCAAAACAATTAACTAGTAGATGTTAGCAGCAAGATATCCTATTTTTGAAGGGCGGAGGGGTAAAGATATTCACGGAATTCAACATTAGTTAATTTGTGGCGGTTAGCAACAAGTTATTACGTAATGAAGGAATTTGTAAAAAGGCGAATGCAGTGAGTAGGCAGAATTACTTTAGGCACAAATGATATAATTGAATTAACTAGAATTGTAGTCACCATAAAATGAAAAAGTCCAAAAATAGTTGCAAATGGGGAGGAAAATCGTATGTAAAACTTGATACATATTATGCAGTTGGTTAAGGCAAGGTAAGCGGCTGCACAAATTTCTATCGAACACAAAGGTTCGGTTTATTCAGATGAATTTCGACTGCTTCCTCTCTATTCGTAAAAGTCATGCTCGTAGAGCTTGCGAGAAGCTGGGTGAAATGTGACAAATAACTGAAAAAGCTTTTTTAGAGTCAACTTGATGCCCAGTATCGACGAAATGAGTTAGTATCGAGCTGCGTGTATAGCTTTATTCCGACCTTTGTCAAATCAAGATGAGAGGTGTTCAGAAATTCGACGATAGCCTTGTTTGATTGTACGCTCACTCTAACTGATTCCGCACGACCTCCGTCTACCTAAAACTGGCAATTCTTATGGATTAAAATAACCACATGATTTGGTAAAATTTCGATGTAAAAAAATATATATATATATTGGTGTAAAGCCGATGACGAGGACCTAATTGAAAAGGAATATATTTCTCCGCTCAATTTATCGTTTTTATAAATGTGGAAATGGGAATTCTCAAATGACTAAACTTGTTATGAATACAAAAGGTAAAGTTAAGTTAACTACTGCCCCTCATCCATTGCTCAGCTAGAAATTAATTATGCCTCAATAGTGCATTAACACAAGATCATATTGAGTTTATTAAGTGTTAGTTAGACACTTTTTAATGCTACTCTTTTTTTTTTTGAAAAATTTCATACATCAGACTACAGCGGGCTCAACAGGCAATGTATTCAATCAGTCCGTATCACCACCACCGCAACAACATCAACAACACCAACAACGCTCTCAGACAACAATGTTCAGTACCTCACAACAGCCAACATCTAGTCTGTTGACGCCTACTCCACCGCCTAAAGGTCCAGTATATAAATGGACACCAGATGATGTTGTTGCCTTTGTCCGTGGTACTCCCGGATGCAGTGCATATGCATCAGCATTTTTAAACAATGAAATTGACGGTGAAGCATTATTATTACTAGCCGAGGATCAATTTATTCAACCACCGATCGGTATGAAAATTGGACCAGCATTGAAGCTGGTTGCAAGACTAGAATCATTAAGACATTGTTGTTGATATAATCATGATGTTTATGATAATAATGACAGTCATTACTTATTACATTATCAGTAGCATATATATATATATATAAATACAGATTATTGTTTATTGTTTCTACTTGTCAGAGTATTTACTTGTAAACATAAAGATCTCAACTTTTTCATTTGTTTTGTTTTCCGGTGATACCAGTTACTTTGTGTTCATTACTATTACTACGACGACTATTGTTATTATTATTATTTTCACTTTTATTATTACTGTTGCTTTTATTATTATTATTATTATTACCACCATCGTCATTAATTTCATATGCAATTTTTTATTTCTCTCGTTAAGTTTATGCTTCATGTTTATTATGCATGAGATCTCAAAACACTGAGCATTTAATCCATTTCAAATAAACAAGCCCCAACAATCAATCAGTTATCAAAATGTTGTAAATAATAAATAAGAAATATTACTTGTGGTTGGTGTTGTGTGCATGTGTCTGTGTATTTCTCTCCCTATGTGTGTGTGCGTGCGTGTGTGTCTGTGTTTACACATGATTACATCATTTACAGTAACAATAGCATAATAGTAGTAGTTCATATTAGTAGTAGTAGCCTTCAAGATGACAACATTTTTAGTCAGTTGTTTCAATGGAGAGGAATAATCACAAAATAGCACCTCTGCTAAACAAACTCATTGTATACTGAATATATGATTTTCAGTTTGGTTTCTCTCTTGTATAACCTACTTCTACTATGACGTACAAATGTTATTACTGTTATTATTATTATGTCACTGTTGTTACTGACGCATTGAATTATTGACCTTATCGACATTTGTTCTGTTTGTTCTTTTTTTGAAATATATTGTTAAATTATTGAAGATTGGAAACATTTTTTTCTTGACTTAGTAAATTTAAAAGGTGTGAAAACCGCGACAAAAGCAGTATCGTCAACCATTACTAACTACTGTGACCACCAATAAATACAGCAACAACAATATCAACGACTACTACTTCTACTGTCAGTAGTAGTGCTTCATGTACTAAATTAAAGTCAACAACACCTTTCCAATTTCCACCTCCACCTGTATTAATTGGTTTAGATGACAGACGTATATTAACTCATTATATTGATGGTCATGTTATCTATGAAAGTGATAAACCATTCCCTGTAAGTGTGTAGTAGCCTATGAAATTGATGAAAACATTGCTATCCCTTAGTAAATTTAAGATGAGCAACAACTGTGGAAAAAAGGCAGTATTGTATGTATGACTGAGTAATTTTCGGTGGAGGGACTCGTCAGCTAAATAATACTCCTCTACAGACATGGTCATTCTGTATACAATTACTGTTTAGGTCCAACATACATCCATGCAAGTGTGTGAACATTGTGATAGCTTCAAATAAGTATCAATTTGAACAAGTATATGATGTATAATTGGTGAGTGCTAGATAATCTGTTAACGACGATTATTAAGTGAATACTATTCATCAGTCAAATTACATACTGATGAATAAACTGGAGTTCTTGTGATGGAATTAATTAATACTCCTTCATTAGAAATAGGAAGTGAAGTGGTGGAGCACGTTGACCGCTTCACTTACTTGGAAAGTACCATCAGCCCCAACGGGTTGATCTCTAACGAAATCTCAGCACGGATACAAAGGGCTAGTTCCGCATATGCCAATTTACGCCGTCTCTGGCGTAGACGTGATATCCAACTACCGACCAAAGGGCGTGTGTACTGCTCATCAGTCCGCTCCATCCTCCTTTATGGCTGTGAGACCTGGCCATTGAGAGTGGAAGACATGAGGTTGGCTAGCTGTCTTTGATCATAGGTGTCTGCGTTCTATCTCCCGTGTGAAGTGGCATAATAAGGTGAGCAATATTGAGGTTAGGCATGGAATGCTAGGTAAGGAGGGGAAATCAATCGATGAAGCTGTGAAATAACATCGACTGAGATGGTTAGGACATGTGTTACGTATGCCTAGTCATCGCCTTCCTCGACGGGCAATGTTAGCTGATATAGGATGAGGCTGGACAAGTGCTAACGGCGGTCAAACCAAAACATGGCATCAGTCAATGAAATCCACAACAGTTAGTCTAAGCCAGCCACGTAGGAATATGTAGACTTCCTGGTTGGGGTCCTCGGGATGGTAAAATCCAATGGTTGGAAACAATTGGTGACATGGCTCAAAATCGTTCTCAATGGCTGGCGCAGATGCATCCACTCCTTGTGACTGACTTATGATTTCCAATGAAACTATATTGTTCTTCGTTATTACTATTCCTTTGTCTCACACCTCTGTTTACTGTCTCTGATATGCATTTCTCCTACTTTCTTCTCTTGCTTTGTGTGCTACAAGGAGGGAGTGTGGCGACTTGAACTGCCGCACATATGTGCAAAGTTCTATGTCGAAAATAGACAAAGAGACAATTATAAACATCTAGATGTGATTATAATAATAATAATAATATTGAAATACAAGGAAATTTTGTTAGAAACACAAATAAATTAAATATGTGTAGAGCACATCGGAGTTAAGATTTCTGACTTTAACTCATTGGATAATTTGAACACTCCTCACGAAGATTACTACTAACGCATGATTTTTCGATTTGCTCACAATCGTAAGAAGATTAACAGTATGTCAGATAAATTAATAATAATAATAGTAATGGAGAGAGGATGTTGTAAATAGAAAGAGTAAGGAAAATTGTAAGTGTAAAATGAAAGTATACTACCAAGTAGGTGGATTTAAACTAACTACTGTCTCCTTTTGTGTACATAGATCCGGCTTGTTTAATCTGATTGTGCAGGCTTAATACGTTGCTTATTGATTACAATAAATCTGACAATTCCTAACAAAATTTATGAATTTGTTAAGTACTGCTGTTTCCACAGTTGTTGCATGTTTTAAATTAGTAAATCATAAGCTTAGTTCATTGTAGGCACTAAGAGACGCGCCACTCAAAAACTATAGATCAACAATTTATAACGAAAGCAGTGATAGAATGAATGAGAAAGAACATCTAGAAAGTAATCGAGCATACTTGTCAAGATTAATCAACACTCGTCACTTAATGTTACCTCCAAAAAAGGAAAAAAACAATGGAAGGAAATGGCATTCTCTTCGCTATTGATTGTGATTTTTGGCCATATCTGATTGATTACGTTTCGAGCCACTGATTCGAACTGTCTCCCGGATCCCAACCAGGGAGTCATGATGTACCAACTGACACATACCTAACATAAATGTTCTTCATTTCATTGAATGACGATGTTGGCTGACAACCTCTTCGCTTTCCCCATCCAGTCCAGGGGTTAGCGGACATCGGAGCCCCCATGGTGACATTCGTACCTCATGTTGAAGCCACCTAAGCCAGTGTTTCCAGGTGGCAACTTTCAATGAATGGTGACGTCCGCTGTATCGAAACACCCCCGACTTTTGAAAACCTGGTAGAGGTGTCGCAAATTGGCGTATGCCTCCCAGCTCTCACTATACGGTTAGGGATCTTTTCCTTCACAATTCCATCAGCATTCACACAACTACCTAGATATACTAACTTTTGGACAATTTCACCTTCAGGGGTGGATGCAGATACAGGTTTCTGACAATCTTGCGATAGTACTTTGCACTTAGACGGCGCAAAGCACTTACCATACTTACAGACACCGATTTCCAACTGATTAAGTGCGCTTTGGGCAGCCTGCATGTTACGTCACAGTGAAACGATATCGTCTGCATACTCGAGGTCAGAAGTTCTTTCTCTAGGAAGCAGATCTAAACCGCCAACATGCACGTCCTTCAGAGCTAAATCCAGAATGTCATTGATAGCAAACTTAAAGAGAAATGAAGAGATTGGGTAGCGCTGTCTAATCCCACTGTTGGTTGGGAACAGTGATGATAGCTAGTTGTATGGCCTCACTCTACTTGAGGTATTTCTGTATAGAGCTTTTAGGAAGTAAACCAACTTCACAGGAACACCTCTCTCTAACAGACAGTTCAAGAGAGCAGTTCCTTTGAAAGAATAAAAGGCAGCCGTAATATAAACAAGCACAACGATTGCTGGCCTGTAATACGTGTGACAGTATTCTAGTAGCTGATGGAGGATGAACACATGGTCAATCCATTCATGATTTGGACGAAACACAGCCTGCGAAGCAGGGTAGTGACCAATATTTTAGACGCAATTTGTAGTAAACTGATATCCCTGTAATTGTTACACGTACTGCGTAGGCCGATTTTGAACATAGGCACGATGACTTTATTCCAGATTCTTATAATATTACTATTCCCTTGAGTTTCGAGTGGAACGTAGGGCTTCATTAACGCATCTCCACTTTATTCTATTTTCTGCCGTCCTCTTCAGCTGGGTCCACGACTGCCCACAATCTCCTATCTACTCCTGCATATCATCCTCTCACCGATGACACACTCAACGCTCCCCATTGGGATCCACTTGAGCGATGGGCTGGCGCACGATGTCATTCGACAGCCTCATCAACGTGTGCTTAATCCATCTCCATTTTCTCCCATAAATTTGTTGAGCAATCGGCTCTTAGTTGGTTTGTTTTCAGCCAGAGTTTTGTGTTGCTAACTCTTTCTGGGCGGCCGACATTTGATCTTCAGTATGGAACCGGAGAAGTTTGTATCTTGTTGGAAGTCCTTTTTGTGACACGCGAACCAAGTTTCTGACCCATATAGAACTGACTGACTTCACATTTGTGTTGAAAATCCAAATCTTATTCTTAATGCTGCCGAATACAAAATATTTCCAAAGTGGTTTGAGGTTGATGAGGACGTATCTTTCCTTTTTATTTTATTATTTTTTTTGATTACAGCTTGATTCCACACCGTAATTTAAGGTACAGGTATGGAATTTTTAGCATGTGATATCGGTAGCCCAAATTTTGCAGGCCGACCATACATATCAGGTGTTCGTCGGCAAGGGATCGAACCCCGGACCATGTGCATGGTCGACAAGAGTCCTAACTACTGTGCCACCGACGCACAAGAATAATGGAAAGAGTCGTTTATTCACTCTTTCGGTGTAAATCAGCAGTGTCATGCTTAACACTTTCTGATTCTGGCTGGTTTCGACGTTGTCATCAGTCCTGCCTGTGGTTGAAACCGTGATTCCAAGATAAGTGAAAGAAATAACCTCTGTTAAATCTCTCCCGTTGTTGCTGACTGGTGCTGGTTATTGTCGCTGTTGGTTGGTTATCTGCAATACCTCCGTCTTTATGTTCACCCTGTCTTCGCTGCCTGACTCTTCAGTTGGTTTCTTGGTTTTCGCCTATAAGTCTCCGAGATTGTTTGACATTAGACGAATATCATCTGCCAAGTATAGGTCTTCTAAGGTTTTCTTATCAGGCCAACGCATTCCTTTATTCTCACTCCCAACGTACAGTTAGAAATATCATCTGTGATAGTAGACAGTCTTGTCTTACTCCTGTATGCACTTCAAATGCCTCGCTGAGTTCTTCGTTGTGGATAAACTGACACGTGGCGTTGTCATATAGCTGCGGTTGAATGGGATTGATAAAGACTTGTGTCACCCTATGTTGTTAAAGTAGTTTCCAAATTACTTTGCGGTCCACGCTGTCAAAGGCCTTCCAAAGTCGATGAAATTGCGATAGATGCTTGAATTAAAACAATTAGTCCCTTTGATAAATTTGAATAAGGCATTAAGAAGACAAATTTCGCGAGATGATATCATTTCGTAGTTTCTTTACAACCGCTTTACAACTGACATGGTTAACAATAATAAAATAAAGATCATGACAATTACTCAGTTAAGTAAAAACAAACGTACATACTAATGACCAATCATATTTAGATAGGTCAAGTAGTCCAGGGTAGGCGAAGATTGAAGTCTATTGATTTTTGTACACACAGTTTATGCTGTATGTGATTAATCCAAAGTGCTTCCATCACCTTCAATAACCTTGAATTAGAGTTATGTGAAATAATTGTGAAACAGTCAATTATATTGATTTTGTGACCTGACATTAATAAGTGTTTTGCAATGGATGATGCTGGATTTCTATTCAGATTACTGCCACTGGGATTTTCTATATGATTTAGTAGCCATTTTGGAACATGTTCTTTCCGACGACATTGGAACATTCTGTTGGTTCTACCTATATAGGTGTCACCGCAGCTGCAGGTGAACT